ACAAATTGTAGGAGGTAGACAGAGCTTAAAATCAGTTGAAGAAGCAGAACTTTTTGCTATCTATAAAGGAACTTTGATCGCGCAAGCTTTGAGGAAATCTCATCTTTTGATCTACTCTAACTCCCAATCAGTTATTCAAGCACTTCAAGATCATTCTTCTATACATTGGTCTGTTCTGAGTCTGTTAACAGAGACAAAAAATTTACTGCTTCCTTTTGAAACTACTAAGTTACTTTTTTATAAAAAGGAGGTACAATATTCCTGCTCACCAAATAGAAAAATTAGGTAAACATTTTCAGCAGGAATCATTTGTATTATATGAGTACCCTCCTTTTTATCCTACTGTACAAAACTTTGTCTTTTGTTCCCGTTGTTAATATAAACTTTTTACTTGTCAAAAAAAAAAAAACACAAATATAACAATAATAAAATGATATGGCATAAAAGTCAAACAGCAAGAACAAAAAAGGCATACAATGTTCTTAAAATAAAATAACTACAATAAGAATATTTTTTATTCTAATTATTATTAGTATTATCATATTAATTATGATTATTTTTAAGATTGTTATTATTATTATTGTTTTATTAATATGTTATTAATTATTTTATACTAATAATCATATTTTGTTATCAATCACTATTTTTTTGTATTTTTTTTTATTTTGTAAATAACCTTATTATTCATATTAATGAGAGTGGCAACAAAACCATTAAATCAAGGTATGAAAAATGATACGACATAAAAGTCAAACAACAATAAAACAAAGTACAAAGAAGCCATATTCTTAAAAATATCTAAAGTAACAAAAACTAAAATAACTACAATAAGAGTATTATTATTGTTGCAACGAAACCCATAATGTGCACGGGTTTGAGTCGTATTGTGCATGGGTCCAGTTGATCCATACCAATCAGTTAGACCTGTCTCTTGATATTCGGATTTATTGAAAATGGGTCTTCACTAACCTGTTTTGATCATCTTCTTCTCCCGGAATGTCATACGGGTCTTGCATGGACCCGATTAGTTTCTAGGTCGTCTGCAACGTCTTCTCAACCCAAAAAAAGAGCTGAAACGTCTGCTCAACCCAAAATGTTAGTCGGTATAGCCGAAATTGCTAGAGCGTTTGCAACCTGAAGGTATAGCTGATACCTTTGCAACGTTTGAAATGTCAGTCTGTACAGGTACAAGTGAAACGTTTGCAACCCGGAGGAGCTGAAATTTCTGCTCAACCCAAAAAGAGTTCGGAAGAAAACATGTATAAAAAAGTGAAAATGAGATGAGAAGAGAATGCAAGGAACGTGTAAATTTGAGATGGTTTAATGATTTGAATCCTACAGTAGCTGAGACGTTTCAACCTGCAATTGCATGCAATGTTGTCTAGGTGTAAGTGTGCAATGGTGTTTTCAATATCCTGAAGGTGTGAGAGTTGAGAGGGAGTGAGAGTTGGATTTTGGACGCTTGAATGTATAAATCTGAGAGCTGGATTTTGGACGTTTGGTCTCCCATAGCATGGTTTTCAAAATCGGATCGGCCTGGATCAGATGGTTGGACCGGAAAAATTGGGAATCAGTTTCGTTTTTCTCCAAAATCATTGATTTTGGTCAGTAAACTGTTGAATCGGCCGGTTAATTGTTTGAACCATTCAAATGGTTTTGACAGTTTTTTAATTTTTAAATTTTTTTTTGTCAGAATGGGCTAGTTGTTCGGTTCAAATGGTTGGACCATTCAAACCAGTAACTGGACCCCTAACGGTTCGGTTTTAAAAACCATGTCCCATGGTGTTTTGAGAACCAACACGTCATTAAGTGTGATGTTTAATTACACATTTGAAAAAAAAAATCTCAAAATCCCATAATGTAGATAAATGGGTTCTCAAACTAATGTGAGTGCAGGAAGGTGCACTCCCAAATTAACAAAACCGCAGCAATGTGCCAACTCAGCATTGGACCAATTACCATTGCAATTCCAGGGAAAGAGCTTCCGTCACAACAATGAGCATCTAACTAAGAAATAGGAATGATAATGATTTTATTTTTGTAACATTGTCTGAGTCATAGTTTCTACTAATTAAGGTTTACACGTGCAAGAAGAAATGCAATTCCCTTTAATTTTGAATCAAAACTCTAATGATTCATTACAACAATATCAATACTGTTTGATAATGGGTGTGGTATTTCACCTAATAATTTCAAGATATTTATTACCAAATTTGTTATTCTAATTTACTATTTGCACACTTTATAAGGAAAAACATCTATGTCATGTTATCGTTCTATTAATCATTGTTACTGTATCTAGGCATTATGGTTGTAAATTTCAATTTATGAATTTATTTTTTGATTGTCGAGGTCGGTACATCCTGAAATAGTGCTCTTCTTATAATACTTTACACAATATCTCTAGGGAAGAGGAGATTCCATCATGACAATGATCATATCCTCCAATGGTTAGCATAGTTGGTACCTTGAATCTTATCACTAGCACCGATGAACTTAACCAAGAATCTATCACTATCGATCGTGACTTAATTCCAGACGATGAAGCACTTGTTTTAGTAGTGGTTATCACCATCACCAAATTTGACTTAATTTCTAGACTCGATTACAATCTTTCACCCCTACAGTCCATTACCTTCCAAAGGGGTGTCAATGGATCGGTTTTGGGTTAGACTCCGTTCAAATCAAAATCCATTTGGACGGATTGGATGAACCAATAAGACATTGAATTTGGATAGATTGTACATACCAATATGACATATTGGATTGGACTTGGTTCGTCTATAACGAATTTATATTGGATTGAGCCAATATCTAATCAATTGATAGAAGATAAGAACATAGGTGTCAATGGACCAGGTTTGAGTTGAAACCAATCTAAATTAATAGGAATTTTAACAGATTGGACAGTCTCTGGACTGGTTCAAAATATTCATTGGACTGGACCGGATTAGACCAAATCCAATCCAATTGACACCCCTAACCATCCATGCCCATTGCAAACTTGACATGATCCCATAGTAATCAGTGAGGGCCACCTAGATTTATTAATTTTTAATTATTTATAATGTTTTAAATATTTTATTATAATAATTATAACACTCTAATAAGATTAGTTTAACAATATACACTTTAACTTTAGTATTTTATGCGAGGAGTAATGTGGCTTTAATCATTAGTTTGTGTGAGTACCTAGTTGCTATTTGTTTTTCATTATTGTTTAATTTTAAACATTTTCACTGATTTTTTAATTTTCTATTATTTTATTGTTTAATACTATTTATTAATATTTTTATTTTTATTATTTTATAGTATTAGTTTTTTAATGTTATTTAATTTAGTAGTTTTATTTATTAATATTTGTCTTTTATAATAATTTATATAATATCATAATATTTTAATCAGTTTCATTCATTGACATTTAAATAACAACTTGAATAGTAAATTTGTAAAATGCACATTTTTTCAGACAACATGACATTTAAATTAACAAACAACTCCACTACATTTACATTCAGATGTTTGTAAAAGCAAAAAGGCAAAAATTTCACTGAATGCATATAGAGCTTTTCCACAATTTTTTTTATTCTTTTCAGACTTTAGACTTCATATTTACGGAATGCCATCTCAAAATACATTTTGGCTGCGTTTGGCTGCAGTGCAGTTTTATTTGTATTAGTACAAATGTATAGGAGTGCAAATGAAAAAAATGCAAAATTTGGTTTAATTTTGTTTTGAATTTTACTTTATTCTATTTTAATATTGTTTTACTTCATTTATACTGCAACTAAACAAAGTAAGATAAAATTTGAAACAAAAATAGATCAAAATTTACACACAAAATATTTGCACTACCATAATTTTGCATCAGTGCAAATAAATTTGCACTGCAACCAAACACAACATTTAGAACAAAAATACCATTGTATAAACAAATTTTGCTTTGTGCCTATGGGGAAAAGACCCCCAACCAAGTCCTCTCCCAACACACTCATTGTTGTGTAGGTGGGGTTTGAAGAAAGATCTAAACGATATATAAATTAAGGGCCCATTTGGCGCATCTTTTCGTGTGTTATTTTGGCTGTTTACAAGTCGGGCAAACCAATTTTCGATCTATTCCCATTTGGTTCGTAAAAGATCTAGCCGCTAAAAGCTGGAGTGCCGAAAAGACATAGAAAGACGAAAAGACATATTTTGGACTGATTTTGGGAAATTCCAAATGAAGTTTTTTACATCTTTCGTGTTTTATTCTCACATAGAAAGACGTATAAAGACGCACGGAAAGATGTGCCTCTGCCAAACTAGCTTCAAGCTGCTCGGATCTTCATGCAAAAATCAACGCATCTTTTGACTGTTAGAGCTACCAGAAGATCTTCCCAAAAAAACTTGCCAAATGGGCCCTAATTAAAGCTGTTTTTTTTATTTAGTAGAAAAGGTTATAATGTAAAATAAAATTTAAAAAGAGTATCACATTAAAAAGAACACTATTTAATAAAAATATATAAATTAACGATGATAGAAAAATATATTTGAACAATATTTAAGAATATCATAATTATAAAAAAATTAAGAATATCATATATATATATATATATGATTAATTGAGGATCATTTTCAATACAAAAAAATAAATATAAATATAAAAATAGCTAAAATAAATAAATAAATTGTACCTCTAATATATGAATAATTGCAAATAATTCTAGTATGCATGTATATATTAACTAATTTAGTTAAACATAGTTATAAACATAAAATAAAATAGAAAATAAAATTTAAAAATACATAAGGCTTATATTAAAAAAATATGTATGTAATAAAAAATATATAAATCAACTATAAAATAAAATAAATTGTTTCAATATAGGTAGATTATAGATAAATATGTACAAGCATTACATTTATATACATAAAATTAAAAATTTTATACTTTGTGTTTTATGCCTCAAATCGGCTTACGTTCGGCTATTGGGCGCCGGGTTCATGGTCCTCATGTAAGGGTATAGTAGGAAAAATAAATGGAGGGTTTTGCAGAGCAGGTTGCTTGGATATAGTCATATAGGCAGAGAGGCTAGGGTTTGAGCGGTTCAATTTTCAGATAAGAGGCGGTGCGTCCTTGTCATTGCCGGACCAGGGTTTTGCATCGAGCATATTTTGAAGAGCACAGTTCAGGTTAAGCTCTATTCTGAGTCCTTCAAAATTTTTGTTTCAGTTTTTCTTTCTTTAACACCTCCCATGTTCGTCTCGGAGATATCGGATGTCTGATTTGTCGTTGGTATTGGACTTAGGTTTAAGCTGATTATAGTTATAGCTTGGTCTTCCTTGATTGTTTGGACTATTCCTTCGGATGCAAATAATTGGGGAAAAATTGCAGGTCGGTTAGGGTTTAGCTGTTGGAACTTTTTCTAATAAACATTGCATGCCCTAACTTGGTTTCAACTTTTTTTCCTTTATTGATCTTAAAAAAACAAAAAAAAATAAAAACTTGGTTTCAAGTTTAGCCGGCGAGTCTTTTGATTTAACCTCCCTGTGTACGTGTGTGTTCTCATATGAACTTCTGTCTATTAAAAGGACGAGCAAGTTATTTTATCCCCTCGATCTTCGTTTTCTTTATTTCTCAAATCTCTGAGCTTGGTACATTCAGGGTCCATTTGGTTAGCAGTTCGAATCGGAATCCAAAAGGTTCTGTTTGTTTCAGATGGGAATCAGAATGGGAATTGGAATAAGCTAGAATAGAATTTTATTCTCAACGGAGGGGGAGGGAATGGCCATTCCCTCACAATGGGGGAATGCTATTCCAGAAGGAACGGGAATGGGTTTCAATTCCACTCAACCAAACAGTTGGAATCGGAATGGCCCATTCCATTCTGATTAGACCTCTATTCCTGCAAACCAAACAGGTCCTTAATTGATTTTTCTTTGTCATTTTGTAAGATTGAAGAATCAGCTTTTGGTTAAATTTACTTGAAAGGAATACAGGGTACTTTTTAGTGTTTCCGATAAGTTTTAACGCATGTATCTTGTTTAGCAATAAGATTTACTAGACTTTCAATTCTGGTTATCTTTATCATATGTTTTGTTAACAAAGGTAACATTCTTTTTGTACCGTTATTTGATTTTTCAATTCTGTCATGTTGTCCATTTAGAACTTACATGCCTTTGTTATTGCTATTTAATTATCGAGCCTGGTATACATTTACAGTAACTGTGCTTATGCTATAGTTTCCATTCCCCTTCCAAAACACCATTAATTCTCGTTTTTGTTTTGAGACTTCTGTTTGTGTGGTGTGGTTTGCTTAATTTTAGTTTGTCTTTTTTGTTTCCCAAGCATATATACCCTGTGTCCAAAACAAAAACCTTCAAACCATCTTTGTGTAAAATCCTACTGTTATGTGTACGATTACATGCTTTCAAACTGTCTTATCAGTTAGGGAGCATATGTCAAAAGCTTGCCATAGAAACTACCTTTGAGATGCCCAAATTTCTGATATAGGTTGGGCGGCTCTCCTTGGCACTCTAGCATTGTAGTTTTGTGAAAGATTAGAGATCTGGTTAAGTTCTTGTGTGAAACATCAAAATGGTGTTTTATTATTGTGGCTTTATTTGAGCTTGGTTCTTTTATGTCGGTTAGTTGGATTTTGTTGATTCTTCCCACGTACTTACAGTTAATGCTTATCTGCCTTCTATGTAAGACGGGTCTGCCTTTTGATCTGGTTTAATCTGTGCTTAGGGTTATTAGGTTTTGTTAGACCTTTCAGGTGCATGTTGGATGTTTAGTTGCCTAGATGGGTGCGTGGTTTCTGTAAATCAAGGCATTAAGGTGAGGTACCCAACCAACACTTTGACAACTATGCTATAAGTTATTAGGTTTAATGTCTATAAAACATCAGCTCTGTTAGGATGTATTTTTATCAGAGTTTTCAAGGTGTCTAGGTGACTTTTGGAGACAGACAGTGGTTAGTTGCATAGGTGATCAAAATTTTATAAAATGAAAAACTAAATTTTGGTTAGTTCCCTAGATTTGTATACCAATGAGCTTGCATGTTAATTGAAAATAGCAATTCTTTTTATTAAAAACACTAAGTTTCTTCTCAAAACATGGAAAATTGTAAAATCATAAAAAGGCAATAGTATTTTAAATATATTTTCCCACTTATTACCTATCCACCTTTAAAGTTCCAATAAAAATAGCTAATTTGTGGGAGCCAGGTGAGGAAAAGAAAGATCATTTAGTGAAGTGGAAACAAGTGTGTAAATCTAAGGAGCCAAGAGTTTGGGAATTGGGTATCTGATTAAAAGGAATACCACTCTTCTAGGAAACTGGCTTTGGATATTTCCCTTAGAGGGAGACGGACTATGGCACAAGGTTATTGGAAGCTTTCTTGGTGTCACAGAATATGGTTGGAATGCAAAACATGTGTCTTTACATTGCTTCAAATTCCGCTTGGAAAGGAATCTCTGAGGTACTGCCTATAACCTACCTTTCTCAACTTTATCCATTTTGATCTGGGCATGGGAATAGATTCTTATTCTGGGAAGACCTCTGGCTTGGGGATTTGCCATTCAAAGCGCAATTCTCTATGCTTTATTCATTAACAAACCTTAAGAATGGACCTATTTCTAGATTTGGCTTGCCCTAAGAACATGGCTTAAATTGGGACTTGGGTTCAGAAGGGGTTTGAGAGATAAACAGTGTGAATCACTTATCGCTCTACTCTCACTTTTGGAAAAGGTCTTTTTGGATCAAAATCTCTTAGATGGTAGAGTTTGGTACCCCTTACCTGATGGCCTCTTCTCTTGTGCTTCTAACCTTTTCATCAATTTAAAACCTTTGGGTTGAATTTCTCAGTGAGAGAAATTTGGTGCAAACCAATTCCTCCTAAAGTAAAGGTTCTTTGTTGGGAAATATTCCTTGGAAAGATTAACACCTATGACGTGGTATAGAAAAGAAGTCGAAACAAATGCCTTCTCATGTGCGTCTTCTTTGTAAGTATAGTGGTCAGACCCTTCCTCATTTACTAATCTCTTGTTCTTTCGGACTTGTATTTGGGATTGCTTCTATTTTCTCTTTGGTTGCGGATGACTTCCATCGCAAGATGTGGTTAGTTTATTCAACTCCAGTTTCTTAAGGCAAAAAAATTAAAATGGGAAGATGTTTGTGGAGATTGACAAGAGCATCCCTGGTATGGATTACCTGGGAAGAAAGAAATCATAGGATTTTCTAGGAGAAGAGTAAGTCTAAGGAGGAAGTGATTGAAATCATAAAGGTCAAATCTGCACATTGGGCAACAACAATGGAAACCTTCATAGATGTCTCTACAAATGACCTATTATGGAGATGGGCTGTAGTGGTAGAAACAGATGCACACAAAGAAGTGGTGAGAATGGAAGGAAACCTCTGGGGCCAAATAAGCTGAAACTAAATTTTGATGACACCTCTTGGTAATCGAGGTAGGGCATGTATAGGGGGAGTCTTCAGAAACTATCAAGGAGCAGTATTGGCTTATTCTTGGGGTGAATTGGATTTGGACTCTCAGTTAAGGATGAAATAATGGCTCTCTTACAAGGACTAAAACTAGCAATACAGTTAGGTGTTAGAGAGCTAGAAGTAGAGGGAGATTCTTTGTTGGTCATTTCTTGAGCGAAGCAAGTCAAACAAGGAGTGGATAGATCCCTACTATTTTGGGAATATTTCAATCTGTAATAGCAAAAAAGTGGGGTTGACAAACCCAAATAATGTCGACAAGCTGCTTTTCTGATGATTTTTGGGCTACTGTGTAGCTAAAACCATGTATTTATATCAGACATTAATTAATGAATTTATTTTCTGATAAAAAAGTTACAGAGCTTAATGTGGTACCTATTTGGAAATTTTTAGTCCATAACATAACTGCACACTATTTTCTGAAGATGTTGATTAGCCTTGTTGAATGATCTTCTCTTATTATGGTTTTGGTTACCCATTTTTCATTGTTGGTTTCCTTGAGCATCTGGCCTTTCTTTGTTTGGATTCTGTTTGTCCCATTATGTTATTTATTTAAGGTGCAAACACTTGTGATGTTATAATAGCATCAGGTTATTCTAGCACCCTGATACGTTGTTCATTTGCAGATGAATCGTGAAAAGCTTATGAAGATGGCTGGTGCTGTTCGCACTGGTGGAAAGGGTAGCATGCGAAGGTGTGCTGAATACTGTTTTGTTTCTTATTATTCTTTTAAACTATATTTGATGATCCTTAGAGTTCAGAATGTATCTTGTGAGGGGTTGCATTTTACATAACTTTTGAATTTACATGGCTTTCAGTGTAAAGGAATTTGGTTTATCATGCCTGTTTTTAGACACTACTATTTTTATATAATTTTTAATGTACTTCACATTAGAAAATTCATTTTTTATAGAACTTTAACTTAGACTAGTTTTCTTGGATTTCATACATATAACAAGTTATCAATACTTGAATTTGTTGATGTAAATGTTTTTGACAGCTATTAACAGTAATGTGCAACCACTTGAAAGATTGTAGTAGCAGTCCTAGGTTTAGTACAAAATCTGTTCAAGAAAAGAAAAGAGAAAAAAGAACAAAGGAGAAGAAGAAGAAAAAAAAGAAGAGAAGAAAGAAGGAAAGAAAGACAGTAGAATGAATCGGTTCTGCCACCCTTCATTGTCTTTTATATGACTTAATAAAAAGATGATACAATGACAAAAATACCATATCGATTGTGGCAGAGAGAAAATACAAGAACAGCCCGAAACAATTACAAATAAAAATGGGGAGCATATAACTGCTTATAAAAAACATAAAAAAAAACATAAAAAACAATTAAGTATCCCTGTCTACATCTCTACACTCGCCCTCAAGTTGGGAATAGATATCGAGCATTTCCAGCTTGTGTAAATCTGTATCCATCCTGACTTTAGTGGCTACCTTGGTGAAGAGATCAACAAGTTGCATGTCAAAGGCAATATATGGCAAACACACTTTTTGAGAGGCAATTCTCTTCCTAATAAAGCATCGATCCACCTAAATGTTTTTCGTCCTGTCATGTTGTATTGGGTTATGGGTAATATTAATAGCAACTTGATTGTCATAATACAATATTAAGGGCTTCTCATGCTCAATTCCAAGTTCTTCAAGTAAAGATCTCAGCCATAGTACTCTAGCCACTCCATGAGCCATGGATCTGTATTCTGCTTCAACACTTGAACGAACTACTCCACCGTGAAACCATATTTCCTTCAACAAAGGCACAATACTTAGAGGTAGACCACTGTCATCTACACATCCAACCAAATTCGCATCAGTGTTCATCTCAATCTTTATATGACCATTGTTCTTGAAGAGTATTCCACGACCTAGACACTCTTGAGATATGCTAGGATCCTCTTAACAACAACAAATGAGTGGTTATTGGAGAGTGCATGTATTGACTAACAACATTAACAACATAAGAAATGTCAGGCTGAGCTAGACAAAGATAAAGAAGTTTTCCAACCAGCCGTTGATACATGGTCTTGTTATCAAGAGGTTCATCTTCTTTTGCATATCTTATGATTCAATTCAATGGGTGTACCTATAGGGTTATCCCCAATTTCCAAGTTTCCTCCAAAAGGTCAAGGACATGTTTCCTTTGAGAAATGAAAATACCATGTTTAGATCTAGCCACCTTAATTCCTAGAAAATACCAGAGATGACCTAAATCATTTACCTCAAACTCTTTATGAAGTAACTGTTTGAGGGAAGTAATCTCATCAACATCATTGCCTGCTACTATAATATCATCCACATATACAACAAGGAGTGTCAAGGAGGAACCACCCCTCTTGATGAAAAGTGTATGGTTTGAGCCTAACAGCTGGGTCGGGGGTGGTACAAAGGCAACTCATAGAATCAAGAATGCAATATGTTTTACATCGCATTAGCTACTTGAAGTAATGCAATTGTGGAGAAAAAGAGATTGTGGGTTTTACATGCTTGTAAATGCTTTATATGTTTGCTTTTATTTTTAAATTTTCATTTGAATGCACTTGACATCTTATGTTTATGTATTTTACCTTTAGATAATAGATTTTTTAAAACATTTATTTTAAAATTTAAGTTTATATTTTTTATTAACATTATGTTTAATATTGTTTGGATTTTTTGCATGTTAAATTTTTTTTGGCATTTTTTTTGAATTTTTTGACATTTTTTATTATTTTTGTTTTTTTTTTGTAATTTTGTGCCTTGCTTCTAAAAGGCACATGCCTTGCCTTGTGCCTCAGGTGCATTTTGTCCCTTGTGCCTCAGGTGCATTTTTTAGCATCTCCGTTTCCCCTTACGAACTGCAATGGGAAGGTCAAGATCATCAGTAGATGGCAATGGCTCTGTGATGGTAGTCTCAGGAATGGGAGGTGAAGCTGTAGTATCTTGATCATGTGTTATAGAGGAAGCTGGAACTGGCTTGGGCTGATCAAGAGCACCAAAGTCAACTTGCCTCCACCTCTTATGGAAAACCCTCGACTCCTTACATTTCTGACAATGATCTTCTTGACACAATTCCTTTTCAAGAACAAGGATAGGAAGGGGAACTTCAGGAACAAACACACCCCTCTCATCTCTATCCCCTTGAGATGAAACACTAGGATAGTAAGGAACATCCTTAAAAATGGTGACATCCATAGACACAAACTGAGAGCCATAAATTTGGTCATAATAGCAATGTCCCTTTGATTTTGTGTATAGCCGAGAAATATGCATTTGGAAGCTTTAGGATAAAATTTAGAACAATTAGGCCCCAAAATTTGATCAAAACATGTGCACCCAAAGACTTTAAGAGGGATGGCAAAACAAGTCTTTCTTGGGATACAATAAAGTGAAATGAGCTTTCATACCACAGACACGGGAAGGAGCTCAGTTGTTGATATACACAACCGTATGAATTCCATCCCCCCAAAAACATATAGGGACATTCGAATTTAAAATGATGCTTCTTGAAACCTCAAGGATGTGCCTGCTGTTTTTCTTAGCTACCCCATTTTTTTGAGGGGTATGAAGATAGTTGCTTTAGTGAATAATCCCATATTCAAGGAAGTACAAGTTCAATGACTTGCGATTTAGTGAAGTACTCATTGACATTATCAGATTTAAAGCTTTGATTCTAACCCCAAATTGAGTGAAAACCATTTGGTGAAAGGCACGGGTCAAAATAGGGATCTCATCATGGGAACACATGAGATGAACCGAAGAGAAATGAAAATAATCATCAACAAATAACAAGAAATATTTGTATCCCCCATGGCAATGTTATTATATGGTTCTCAAATATTAATATGCACAACTTCAAAAGGAACAATGCTTCTTTTATTACTCATAAGTATAGATTGATCTACAATGTTTTGCCAACTCACAACTTTCACACTTGGACTGAGTCAAATAAAGTAGGAACGTCTCCTTAAAGACTCAAAAGAAAAATGACCTAACCGATTATGCCAAACCATAATCTGAGTCACAGAGAGAGAAAAAAAGACTTTCCAGCTCCTTTATTGCTTCTAGGTGGGTGCTCAAGAAAGTAGATCCCATTCCCCTTATGGCCAGTCCTAATTACCTTTTGTCACTAGATCTTGGAGAACACAATGATTAGGGAAATAGATCCACTTAACAATTTTGATTCTTAGTAATGCTACTAACAAAAAGTAGATTATTACTAAGTTTGGGCACATGTAAAGTTGATGATGAAGTAAGGACATTAGACACTCTTAATGTCTCCCTTGCTAGAGAGGGGAGCAAGAGAGTTTAAGAGAGCCATCAACAATAGAGACCTTGTCTCTAGTCTCTACCAGAGGGCAAATGATAGGAAGAAAATAGTGAGGCTAAACTGGTTGTATGGTTAGAGGCACATGAATCTACTATTCAATAAAGATCAATGTTACTTGGAGTTAAGGCAGGATAGTCTGTAGTAGCTATTGTACCTAAGTGAGCAAAGGCTGAAGTGGAGTTAGAAGGACCAGAGGTAGATTAAGAAATTTGAGATGGTCCAGTGATGCCAATTCCATTCTCCAACTGTGTCAAGACTGCCCTGGCTGCAGCCAAGGCATCCAAGGAAGTAGATCTAGTTCCAGTAAAGGGTGAAACATCTGTAGTAGTGGTACCATTTGCATTTCCCTTCTTATTCTTAATTCTTGAAGGTGCCAACTAAGGATGAAGCTTCCAACAAGTTTCTTTAGTGTGTCTAGGTTTTTTGCAATAGTCACAAACCACCTCCTTTTTTTTCTTCCTTACCTCTCTCTCTCCTTATCTCCACAATGCTTCGGCTTCATAGCTACTAAGGCTGATTCAATTTGGGAATTTTGTAGAATAATTTTCCTTCTGCTCTCCTTACTATGCACCAAAGAATATGCATGAGACAAGGTAACACTTTCCCTAGTGAGAAGTTTCTGTCTCGCAATATCATATTCAGAATTCAGCCCTGCAACGAATTCAAAAACCCTATTTCTTTCCACTAATTTGTTATACATTGCTGCGTCCTATTGACTTTCCCATTCAATTGCCTCCAAATGATCAATTTCATGCCATAGACACTTCAAAGTTGAGAAGTACATCGACACAGGTTTCTCTCCTGTTTCAGATTTTCCACTTCAGTTTTCAGCTCATAGGCCCTGGCTACATCAAGGGGCTGAGAATAAGTTTCCTTCAAATTATCCCAGTTGTCTTTAGTTGTCTTGGTCCGAGGATAGTTTGATAGTTTCTACTGATATGAGGCTGCATTGGGTTGCAAAGCCAAGTCGTAACTAGATAATTTTCTTGAACCCACTTGGCATAGGAAGGGTCTTCCTTGGTGGGCATATTAATGTCACCATTTACATAGCCTAGTTTACCCCTTCCCCAATTGATTTAAATTGCTGTGTTTAATACTAAAATATTTAAACTAATATATTTGAAATACTATTGTCCTAGATATGATGATTTGCTATGGTTAGTCATTGGTTGGTTGAAAGAAGGGGTATATAGTCAAGACAATTGCAAATTCATGTAAGATGGGTTAGGAGATCTGCTAATGGTTTGGTGGATGGATTAGCTAAGCAAGTAATATATAGACATCATTTGTTCTAGCCTCAATGTTAAAAGGGTGGTCGGTCTTTTTGTTGTAAAGGGTTCTATTCCTAACAACTTCTTGTTGTATTCTTTTTCTTTAAGTTTAAATAAAATTCTCAGAATTGCTGATAAAAAAAGATGCTTTGCCATGTTATGAGAGGGAAATCTAATATTCTTAATAAAGAAAATTGGTACTTTTTTCAATTAATGTGCATGTTCAATGTTATATCAAACTGGGAACTCGCTGTGGTTTGGATTTTTATTTTATTTAATTCTTATCACGTACTTGCCTAGATACCTGCTCAGTAGGTGCCCCAGTGTTGTCTAGAATCACCTAGACTCCTTGACAACTATGTTCCCAGCTACTTCCTCCAAGAATTGGCTACATAGTCGGAAGTTTACATATTTTCTTTAAAATCTATTGCAATTTTTTGTTAACTGTCACTGATGGAAGTGAATTCGGCTTATGAAGGCTCTATGGTATTTGATTATTTGTCTTGGAAATCGAAACTGATCTCTTTTTTGTTCTTAACTTGTGGTTTCTGTTTAGTTTTTTCAAATATCGGTTTATCTTCTGTAGTCCTGTATCTAGTTTTTAAAGTTATCTGTTGTGTTCATGAACCATGTATTATGCTTTTTTTTATATGTACCATGTATTATGCTTTTTTTTATATGTACCATGTATTATGCTTTTGTTTACAGAAAAAAGAAGGCGATTCATAAGACTACAACCACAGATGACAAAAGGCTTCAGAGTACCTTGAAAAGAATAGGGGTGAATGCTATCCCTGCTATCGAGGAAGTCAACATTTTTAAGGATGATATAGTCATCCAGTTTTTGAACCCTAAAGGTAATACTTGATGTTCAAGAATGTCCTATATCATTTCAATTATGGGCCTCAAGGCATTTTTCTTGAGCTATTCCTTGATATACCACTCAAGGCATAAGCCTTCTGTGGTTTTTAAAATATTGGTAATATCCCACCATGAAGAGGGCTTTAAAACATTTATCAACCATTGCCAGCTTTATATGCTTTCTCATTCTAATACACTTTTCTCCTATTTCAGTTCAAGCCTCGATTGCTGCCAACACTTGGGTTGTTAGTGGCTCTCCTCAGACAAAAAGTATTCCTTACTGCTCTCTTTATTTAGAACAATGCCGTTTTGTCTTTTTTGAATTTCAGTATGTGCAAATATGTCATGAAATGCTTCACAAGAATGGTGATCATTCTTGGATTAATCTGTTAAGCTTAGTATTTTAGGTTGTTTAATTTTGTTACTGTACCTTGAAAATTATGTTTGTAATGTCATGTCTGGTTAATGTGATATATACATATTTTTTGGAAAGATCAGGTGCCATTCGTTTTAAAAAGGCTTTGTACAAAAGATTCACTGGGCAAACCCACCTATAGAGTGAGTTGTTGTATTAGATGACCTATACAAAAGGAAACAACTTAACATGTTCATGAAAAAAATATCAATCTATTAAAATTAGGCCCTGGTTAATCTATCAAGAAAAGGCCCAGGTTATGTGCAAACTCTTCCCTCATGGAGAACCACAATCATCCAAAAATATCAATCTCTTAAAATTGTTCCTCATCAATTCATCTTCTTGAGGGAATATCTGTGGAAGATCATTGCATTGCAGTCTTCTAAATGTTCTAAGTTATACCAGTGAGAATGGCCTTCCATGGAGGCCTGCCCTTCTTGAAGAAACCAACTTGCCAATGGAAGAGAGCCTCTGATATTGTGTGCTGAAAACACCGGCACAACTTGATAGCACTTGGAAAATGCCACCAGGATCTATTACTGACCCACCAATGTAGAAGCAGATGGTCACCTGATTCAAGCTCAAAATTACAGAACTCACAGCCTTTGAGTTGATTTCCATGCCCCTCTTTTTTAGCTTATCCTTGGTGAGTCATTTGATTAATGCTGCAGTCTACACCAAGGAGAGTTTTTATGGTACATTTCAGTGATTTAAAAGGCGCGCCTAGGTGCTCAGGCGAGGCGCATTTTAGGGTAGGCGCCTCGCCCAGGTCCTAGGCACACTCCTGGTGCGCCCAGGCATGCGCCTGTTGTGCCTTAGCCCTGGCATGCGCCTTTTGAAAACTTGCCGCTTTTTCCCTTTTTTTCAGTCTGGTTGCTGGGCTGGGGGCTCTGCCCCCGGACCCCATGCCACGCCCCTCGAGGCCAGCCCAAACAAGTCCATGTTAGGGTCTTAAATTCTTAGATTTCACACAAAAAATAATAATTTTATAGTTTAAATTGCTTTTAAGAAGATATTTTATTAAGATGAATGGATGGACAACATTACCAAATAGGGGGTTCTTGAAGTTTCGGTGAGCGAGCGAAACTTGTTTGGGCTTGCCTCGAGGGGCGTGGCACAAAGGCGGCTCGTAGAATTAGGAATTTAATATATCACATTAGCTACTTGATGCAATTGAGAAAAAAAAGAGATTGTGGGTTTTATATGCTTGAAAATGTTTTATATGTTTGATTTCATTTTTAAATTCTCATTTGATTATGCTTTACATATTATATTTATGTATTTTAATTTTAGATAATAGGTTTTTTAAAACATTTATTTTAAAACTTAAGTTAATATTTCTAAAATAGTGCGCCTTGCCTCAAAAAGGCACGCGGGGGCGCCTTGTGCCTTGCACCTTAGGTGCAAAATGGCCCTTGCGCCTTTTTTGCGCCTTGCGCTTTTAAAGCACTGGTGCATTTGCTTTCCATTCAATTCCAGTAGGGAAATCAGCATGTTTAGGTTTCTATAATCTGCCTCCTGATCGTGAAACATCCACTGTGCTCCCATATCTAGATGCTGTCTGTTGTCATCATAATGTTGCAGGTTGCTGATTCTCCAGCTTCCAGCCTCGAAGGTTTCAGCGAAATTTGGGTACCCAGAGTGCTCTATGAGCACAGACCTTTGTTGCACTGATCAATTGATGCCTCCTACTTGGCAGCCGCTGCAAACACGTTTTGAAAACATAGCTGCAACAGGCTGATCCCATTATCAAACATCATTCCAGAATTTTGACTCTGGAATCCCTCCCCACTTTGAATTTCGCCTCAGCAGTATAATCATTATGAACTTTTTCAATACTCTTCCAAGATGAACAACCAAGGTTGTTTGTCTGAATTTGGACACCATCCTCCCTGACTAGATCTGAACTTGGACTTTTTTGATTCCCTTTCCAACTGGAGCCTGATTCACTGCTTGGAATGTCCTAGTTCCCAACCAACAGCAGATTTTGGAAAGCACACCTAACTTTAATAAGCTAGGGAACACTTGGGTCCTCTTTTCAAGCTGAGCTTTTTACCCCCCTTTGGCCAGTATTGGGAAGAGGAAAAAGTATTAAATTGGATGGTTAGCTAAAGTGCTTGTGATTAAAGTGAGGTTACCTCCTTTATACAGGTAAGAGAAAGGTATTTGCTAGAGTGCTTGTTAGCTTACCCCCTTTAGACAGGTAAACAAATGTCTACTCAGATACCTGTTTTATATCCGCTTGTTCTAACACTGGGTCCTAAATTGAGCAAGATATGATCTGCTTTCCCAATGGTATGCATAAATATTTAATGGGGATTTTGTCTTTTTCTATTATTCACTTAATTCCAAAATATGATCTGCTTGTACAATAAAATGGCTGTAATACTGCTTTCTGTTGGCTACGACTTCTTAAGTTTATTATTTATCCTTCTGTGAGTGTGGGGAGAGACCACCATCCTTACTTGGCAAGCCATTATTTGTTCTCTGTTTATTTTATATAGTTACAGGAGTTATAATTTGATCTTTTCTTTTACAGAATTGCAAGATATTCTCCCAGGGATCATCAACCAATTGGGTATGTGCCTTTTTTATCTTTGTATTCCAAATTCTTGTGTTATTTGTCCAATGTTCTTTATGTCATGACTGTATTGAAAGGTGCTATTATTTGATTGATAACATTCGATTACAATCTTTCATGGTTCTACTCTTTGACAACCAGATACTGAACACCACCATTCCAGTGTGTAACAGGATACGTACCTGTATGACACTGGGACTGCCTGGAACCTTCTATTGTATAAAGCATTAACTCTTTTAGAGTATTACTGAGCTTTTTTAAATATGTACATTTTTGTGTTCTAACAAATTATTGTAAAAAAGATTGTACATTTTAGAAGTTTGATTAATTTGCACAAGTTACAAGTATTGAGAAATGACACCGTTGACTGGTCTTGTGCATGAAATGTGAAAGACAACAATTCAAATAGAAAATGTATTTTTATTGATATAAAATAAAAGCAAATGAGATAATTTTTTTTCTTTCTTCTCTTGAGTATAATTCATCTGATTCTGTTGTCAATGCAGTCAGGATCCTTGGTGTGGTTCCAACTCAATTATTTGGATGTAAAATCTAAAATGTGGTTCCTCTTGTACTAGGGCTTCAAGCTTGATCTAAAATGAGAACCATGTTCTTGCATTGTTGGTTGTAGTATGCAAAATCTTGCAAACTTATATGTATAAAAGATTTGAGGCTTCAATATAAACTAACCTCCCATATATCGCTTAAGCATGTAGTGTATGGAGCCACCCTTTCTTATATCTTTTAACTTACTGCAATGAAAGAGAAGGTTTTGGACACTTGGATCAGTGTTTGAATGTCCCATTTTTTGATAGGTGTCCTTTTTCGTGCCCCTTTCAGTAACACTTTGTACTTTAAATTTGATCTCCTTTCCATTGAACTCTCACCTTTAAAGGACCTAGCTACAGTCTCCAGTTCCTTCAGTTATCTGATTACCAATTTAGAATCACCTTCAATCAGCAATCTCCCAAGTCCCATCATTCTGTTCTCCAGTGACCTGTATTCCCTGTAAAACTGCTTGGACCACTGCACTCACAGTATCCCCCACTCCAATAGGACCAGAGAATAAGGCCATGATCTGATTCTCTGCATTTCTGAAGATTCCCCCTATACCAGAAGGTCCAGGATTACCTAGGATGTTACCATTAAACTTTAGCTTGATAAAAACTTCTTCACAGGGCTTCCAATCCACAACAGGCTTGTTCTTAATAGTAGGACTTTTTGCAATCAATTCCCATTTCACCAAATGTCTGCATAAGAGAATTGTGAGAAAAGGTCCAATGCTTTAGCCTAATTAATAGCAAAGGCACAATCCACCTGAAACCAAAAAGACCAAAAAGCTTTTCCCAAAGTCCTATAACCAAAGGGTAGAAGATTAGTAGGTGATAACAACTTTCTCCATTAGTTTTTTTTTTTATCAGCAACTTTCTCCATTAGCTTTGCAAAGGACAGTTTGGGGAAATATTAATACTAGGTCTTCTATTTTGCAGATTGTCCAAAGTGTTTAATTTCCTAAGAGTGACTTCCGAACAAAGAGCTTCCAACTTGGGAGAGATGGGTTTGGTCCAGATATCCTTAGAGGAAAAAGAAGCACAAGAAAACAGTCCTAGAGGGTTAGGAGTCTAGATTCAAGCATCAAATTTAGAAGGATCCAAATAAACAGAATCAAGAATTTTGAGGTGCAATGTTGCCTTGTCAACCTCAAAGTTTCTCAAGTCTCTTCTAAAACCCAAATCAAAAGACTGGGAGAAAACTACAAACCTCTAAATGAGTTCATTTTTAATGAGAGAAAAGGAGTACGATGAATTGAAAAAGGTCCTTGAGGGTGGAGTTATACCAATTCACATGATCCTCCCAAAACAAAACCCTATCTCAAATACACACGCCATGCCTGATGAGGCGTAGGAATTGGGAAGAATGGAATTTATAGCAATCCACAGAGTTTTCAAAGTGGCCTGCTGAGAAATACCAGCAGGTATTTCTCCACAGCCTTATGGCATAGCCTTGCGCCTTGCACTGGCTATTACTTTGTGTGCCCTTGAATACTTCTTACAACCTTATGGCATAGCCTCTCCCTTTCTAGAGGCCATCTCCACAGCCATTTACCCAACAAAGCTTCATTGTTATTCCCTACGTTACTTATTCCCTAACTTGCATGTTCCTTGCTTGTACACACTGGTTCCTATTTACTAGATGATCCTTTATACCTTCATTGGGCTCCCATAAGAAGTCCCTCTTAATCTTCTCTACTTTGAACACCTCCTTTTGTGGCATCTTAAAAAGGAAGTACACTGGCATGTTCGCTAATGTAGACTTTATCGAAGTAATTCAACCCCCAGAAGAAACATAGTTTTTCTTCCAAACTGATAATTTCTTTCCACAAATTTCTTCAATTGGACAACAAAATCTTCCTTCCTATGGGTTGGCTCCTAAGAGCATACCTAGGTGTTACAATGGCGAACTAGTGGTAGAACCACCTAAGAGTCTAAGACCCCTGCTACTTCTGCCAACTCTTCCTCATCCATACTCAACCCTACCACACAACTCTTTTCAAAATTAATCTTAAGTTTGGAGTGGTCCCATTCCCCCTAATGTTAAGGTTTTCTGTTGGGAAGTGGCTATTTAGGTCATCAATATCTATGAAAGACTCCAATGTAATAAGAAGAATTGGTTCATTTCACCCAGTGATTTAAAAAGGCGAGCCTAGGCACACAAGCAAGGCGCATTTATTGTAGGTGCCTCGACCAAGTCCTAGGCGCAACCCATTCAAAAGGCGCACGCCTGATGCGCCTAGGTGTGCACCTTTTGAAAATTTGACGCTTTTTCCTTTTTTTTTGAGTCTAGCGACTGGGCCGGGGGCTCCTTTTTTTGACTTGTTTGGGCTTGCCTCGTGGAGCGTGGCATAAAGGCGGCTCGTAAAATTAGGAATGTAATATGTCACATTAGCTGCTTGATGTAATTGAGAAAAAAAGAGATTGTGGGTTTTATATGCTTGAAAATGTTTTATATGTTTGATTTCATTTTTAAATTCTCATTTGAATATGCTTTACATAATATGTTAATGTATTTTAATTTTAGATAATAGGTTTATTAAACATTTATTTTAAAATTTAAGTTTATATTTTTATTAATATTATGTTTTATAATTTTTTTGATTTTTTTGCATTTTTATGAATTTTGTTGCTTTTTTTTTAAATTGTTCACCTTGCCTCAAAAAGGCTTGCGCCTCAGGCGCAAAATGGCCCTTGTGCCTTTTTTGCGCCTTTTGCTTTTAAAACACTGATTTGACCTCATGTTTGTATCCTTTGCTTGAAGAGTGGGGAGAATATCAACAACCTTTCACTTCACTGTTCCTTTGCTTCCTTTGTGTGTCAGTGTTTGTTTTCCTTGGAAGGCCCTGGCTTAGTTGGATGACCTTTTCAACCCATGCTGGTTGAGATTTACTACGAGGCAAAAAATTTTATGGCAGTGGTTAAGAGGGGTCATTCTTTGGGGTTGGTGGTGTGAGAGGAATGCAGGAATATTGGAGAAAAATATAAGACACTGGAGGAGGGTATGCGAACTTCTGTTGATTAGGGTGTCTCATTGGGTTTCAGTTTGTGATGAATTCATAGGTGTTTCAATGAACGACCACCAAGACTGGCTGAGTAGTTTCCCCCAACAGTTGGAAGGCTGAAATTGAACTTTGATGGGTGCTGTTCGGGAGAGTTAGGAGGAGGGTATGCGAACTTCTGTTGATTAGGGTGTCTCATTGGGTTTCAGTTTGTGATGAATTCATAGGTGTTTCAATGAACGACCACCAAGACTGGCTGAGTAGTTTCCCCCAACAGTTGGAAGGCTGAAATTGAACTTTGATGGGTGCTGTTCGGGAGAGTTAGGAGTTAGGGATGTTGTGAGATGAAAGTGGTAGTATTCTTCTTAGTTTCTCAGGTCCAGTTGGACATGGGATCTGTCTCGGGGGGATGAAAAGTATTCTTCTTAGTTTCTTAGGTCTAGTTGGACATGGGATCTGTCTCGGGGGGCTGAAATGTTCGTAGCAATTCAAGGGTTGGTATTGATAAAGATAAAGGGGTGGAAAGAAGTGGACATTGAAGGATAGCTAAACAGTTATTTCTTGGTTAAAGAACAGAGAAGAAATCCCTTGGAGGATGAGGCCTTTGGTAAGACAGGCACTGTCCCTGGGGGATCCCTTGAATACCTCATTCACTTGGATTCCCAGAAGTTTCAAGTCTTAGGCTAACATGTTGTCTAGAGTGGAAGCGTCCAAGGACCATCTTGAGTGGGGTTGTCCAGGACTGGGATGTAATTTGTAACTTATTAGCAATAGCATGAAAGAATCTAGTGTTACCATCCCCTTCTTAATCCACTTATCTCTATATTTTTGCTTGCAACTTATTCCCTCCCTTAGTAGTGTTTCCTCTAACTCCTTCAACTTGCTTCTTAGATCTCTCTCCACCTTCGATGGAGCTCTCCCCCTCCTTCCTGTTTAAATCCTCAATCTGTGAAATTAAGCTGGCTTTCTTTTCCTCGAATCTCCCAAAAGTGACTATTCCATTCTTTAATTTTGTCCTTCAAGTATTAAAGTTTCCTCAAGAATCTTTGCCTTTCCCACTTGGGAAACTACCTCTGTTGATTCCACAAATCTTTCACATTATCCTTGAAGTCTGGGCGGGTCAGCCACATGTTCTCAAACCTAAAAGGTGTAGGCCCCCCAAGGTACTCCACTGGAAGATGCAGATGAGCCAATGGTCTGAGGTAACTCTAGGTAATGTCCTTCCCAAAAAGATCTCTCCAATGATCTTCCCAATCTGGGGAAACCATAAACCTGTCCAGTTAAGAACAAATAGGATTTGCTTGGAGATAAGACATAGTGAACCTAGGTCGTCCTAGAGGAAAATCTCTCGAGAGGAAGGAATCAATGAAGTCAATAAATTTCCTCATACTGGTTGTCTCCCATTGCCTTGCTCTATTTGATTCAGAAATGGTCGCCAACCAGGCCTCTTCCTTTGTAGGGTCTCACATTATTAATCTTCATGTGGTATGCTTCCCAACAGAAATCCCTCTCTCTGGGAGGGACCAATCCGTTCCAGATTTCTTTATTAGGGAAAGTGTGAGGGACTTGTGTTTGTTTTTCCATTCACATTTTAAACCATTTATTCCAAGGGTTTAGGTTTGAAATCATATATCTGAATCCTTGTTTATTTTTTGCAAAAAAAAAATCACTTTTTGGAAGAGTCAAATACAAATATGTTGAGTTCTATCAAGATATGTTCTTTACTTTGTTTCCTTGTCTCTTTTAATTTTTTCAAGAGACTTCTGTTTGGAGTCTTTGCTAGAAAATAATTTATTTAGGTTACTTAGGCTTTTAGCAACTGTATTGAGTTTATTTTTCATTATATATATGCTAAAGAACCATTATATGTGAATTAAATGATTTTTTAGTTGAACTTAAATTATCATCTATAGCTTCTTTGTACAAGTTGCAAACTCTGTTTGAAGTATATACATGGTGGATATGGATTAAAAACAGTGTAAATCACTTCTCTATATGCATTTAAGATTTTTAATGCATCTGCTTTTTCATTTTTTGACAAGTTTGTAAGAAAAACAGAAATATTCTTATTCATAAAAAAACAGAAATATTCTTGTGATTCACAATTCTATTTGATATAATTCAACCTTCCCTTTATGATTTATGAAACAGTTTTAATTTTTAGAACACTAAGGCCCTGTATGGTTTGCAGGAATAAGGGTCTGGAATTGGAATCGGAATGCACTATTCCGATTCCAGCTGTTTTGGTTGGGCGGAATCGGAATCCCATTACCATTCCTGCTGGAATGGCATTCCCCATTTGAGGGAATGGCCAATTTCCTGCCCCTCCCTTGGCCTTGGGATTGAAATCTCATTCCTTTTGATTCCAATTCCCATTCCCATTCTTGTCTGAACCAAACAGATTATGGGAATAGGCAATTCCAGTTATGATTCTGAAGGATTCAACTCCGATTCCAACTGCGAACCAAACGGACCCTAAAATCCAGCATAATGGAGGTTTCTCCATCAACTACAGAAGCCCCATTAGATTCAGAAATTACAAAACTCACTTTAAGCTGTTTTGTGCTAAGATAATTTGTCATATCCCCATAATTGGTTGGTTACAAGACGTTACTACAGGATAAGAAATTTGGAGAAAGTTAATTTCTTTGTCCATTATTCTTTCCTCTCTACGTCAGTTGTTTTCATGCCATCTCCCTTTTAGTGTAAACAAATTAAAGTGGCTGAAAACTTCTAGAAAGTTCGAAATAATAGCTGAATTGTTTCATCCTTCAATCTTACATCCATTTTGCTGAGAAACAAATGGAACATTAGGTCCAGTTTTAAATGCACGGGAGTGCAAATACCCTATACCAGAAATGAAATAATGACTAACTGTAGAATATGCATGTTTAAATTTCCTAATGCCAACATTTTTTTGGAGAACTTTAGATTCAAATCATGGTTTGGTTTCCTAGTTTATCAACTGTGCTGTTTATATTGGTGTTAGATATTTACATGCTGGGGAAAGGTTTAATGTCTTCACTTTGTGCTCGTTTGAATTTGCCCTTTTGATGGTTTCTCGTATAATTTACAGGGCCAGATAACTTGGACAATCTGAGGCGGCTTGCGGAGCAGTTTCAAAAGCAGGCACCGGGTGCAGTTGCAGCACAGGAAGATGATGATGAGGTCCCTGAACTTGTTGCTGGAGAGACATTTGAAGCTGCTGCTAACGAGGCTCCTTCCTCCTAGCTAGAGATGTCTTCTTGGAAGCAATCTGTTTTCTTTTTCTGTTGGTCTTGTTACAAAATTTTGTGGATTTATTTTTTACGATGAACCAGAAATTGATATTGTTCACAAGACAAGTCTCATGCAAATGGTCTCTGCCCCTTTCCATAATGTGCATCAAATTTTATGTGGTGTGGCTGGCAATGCTGGTTGATTTTGTATTGCCCCTTTCCATTAGAGCTCTCGTTTTCTCTTTTCTGTAATCTTCCATTAGGGCTTCTGTATGTGATATTATTTGTATTCCCAAGTGCTCTCCATTGATCCGATCAACATAAAAATGTTTCACCTACTTGATAGTTAAATCCGAATTCTATTTTCTTAACGATTAATGGATCTAGTTTGGACTTGTAATCTAAAGTGCAACCAATTGCATTAAAATGAGAAAAGATATTTTATATTTATAAATAAAAATAAGCAAGAAATGATACCGATATTGCACAAATTTTACATGATGAAATCATTCAAGTATTTCTCGTTACGTTGCAGCGATCTTTAATTGCCGCGATCCTGGTGTTTCTTGGCTATTAAATGTCGCTTTGTAACCTTTTCCTGTGTTATACTGTTATTATATAGTCTTACTTTCTTTATCTATCAATATATATATTTCTTGTTACAATAGAGTGGTCATTTGCCCTTCATATGAGAGAATCTGTGCTTCTGGCAAATGATACATGAAATGTGTTATTTGTCAAACTTAAAATTCATAGGAGTGAACAGCAGCACCCTAGTTTCAACTCTCGCATGTTGAACAAGTTCACGAGAGCATCAGTCATCGGCTATCAATCACTCGTACACCCAAATGCTCATCAATTTCCATAATTTTCCTCGCATCTCTGTGATCTTGCAACAGATTGGGAATGAAATAAATGCAGCCGTCCCTGAGCACTAAAAAGTAAAAACCACTAGATTATCAACATGAATACAAAAAAACGGATATATAGCTATAGCCTAACAAGCCCCGGGTCATGTCCAAGGTGTCAATGGATTGGTTTTGGATTGTATCCGTCCAAACCAAAATGAATTTGGACGAATTGGACAGACCAACAAGACAATGAAGTGGACCAATCCAGACTTGATGGTGCAAAGTATTTAATTATTTATTGGATTGGATTGGACCTGGTCTGTCCATAATGAATTAATATTGGATTTTTGGGTTGGATTGAGCCAATACCTGGTCCGTTGCTATAAGATAAGAATATATGTCAATGGACCGGATTTGGGTTGAAACCTGTCTAAATTAAGATGAATTTTAACAGATTGGATGGTCTAAACATTAAATTGGACCAATCCAAAATGATTCAAAATATTCATTGGATTGAATAGGACCCGGTCCATTTGTAATGGATTCACACTAGATTGGATCTGATTGGACCAATCCAGTCCAATTTACACCCCTACTCCAAGCAATGAATGTTGGTAGAGTAAAACTAGTACAACCATGTTTGACCGGCTTGGGGGCTCTGGAGAGGGGAATGATTCACAAAGCCCACCTCTACCATAATTAGCAATTATTAATATTCTACTCAACTAAGCATTGTCCCAAGAACTGGTGACAAGGCCTCTTTGTTTTTCAGATTTTGAGAGAGGGGAAATGGTATAGACAATCAGACATTGAATAGGATCGGTCCAAAATATTCTTTGGATTGGATTGGATCTGATCTATTTGTAATGGATTCACACTGGAATGGATCGGATTGGACCAAATCCAATCCAATTGACACCCCTACTCCAAACAATGAATGTTGGTAGAGTAAAACTAGTACAACCATGTTTGACTGGCTCGGAGGTGGCTTGGAGGCTCTGGAAAGGCGAATGACTCACAAAACCCACCTCTACCATAATTAGCAATTATTAATATCCTACTCAACTAAGCATTGTACCAAGAACCGGTAATAAGGCCTCTTTGTTTTTCAGATTTTGAGAGGGGGGAAACAGTCCATACATTGAATTGGATCAGTCCAAAATGGTTCAAAATATTCATTGGATTGGATTGGACCTAATCCATTTGTAATGGATTCACATTACACTGGATCGTATTAGACCAAGTCTAGTCCAATTGATGCCCCTACTCCAAACAATCAATGCTGATAGAGTAAAACTAGTACAACCATGTTTGATTGGCTTGGGGGTGGCTTGGGCGCTCTGTAGAGGGGAATGATTAACAAAACCCACCTCTACCATAATTAGAAATTATTAATATTCTACTAAATTATTTCTCCGATCAGATTGATGTACATTTTGACATTTATTGTAAATGAATAAAAGTACATAATTGATTCATGTCTTTGTGGTGTGTTTCTGTGTAATACCCTTAAACTGGACACTTAATGAGACTCGCGTTAGTTTAGAATCTTCACAGCCATTTGATAGATCTAGGGAGATTTATCCTACCAAGGCTGACACTGATGTGCCACCAAGTTGGTTGGGGTGGCTTGTCTCAAATGCTAGGGTGAGACCTGAGGTACATGCAGTGTGGGTTTTCTTGAAACCCTGAATCGGACCAAAATTCTAATATTGCCTTGGACCTTGGAGATAGATGGGCAAAACTGAAATGTTACACCTAACCCCTAGACTCGATTATGATATTGCACTAGGTGTCGGATTGGTTTGTCTTTAATGTGTCAATCAGTGAGATCCTTAGAGGGGATCAAAACCTAGGTATGTTGGGACAGTACGAGAATTCATCTAAGTGGATGATCATAGTGACAGGATCAGCCCCTTTATCGGACAAAGTGAATGATCGGGGATGCACTTTCTCTGATTTTAACCTAAACTGCTAGTAGTTGATTTCAACCGTTGAAATTTGTTTTGCAAAATATATTTATATAAAGATATACATACATATATATATATATATATGTATGTATATCTTTATATAACTCGGGATCCATGTGAGTAGAGAGTGCAGCACTATACCTTGCAGCCGAGGGAGAGGTCCCCTCTTGTTGGGCAGTATTTGATCATTATGGGCTGAGAGGTTAAGTGTAAGACCATTGAGGGTAATACCTAATGGGCTAACCTTGCATCTGCCCATAGACCTTGGGTTTTTATAAGTGGCTGGACCCAAGGACCATTTAGTGTAAATGTTGGGCCCGTTAAGAACCCATGGTGATGGACTTAGGGGTTCACTATCTCCCACAGTGAATTCGGCTAGGCCTTGTAACAAAGGTTGGGCTAAACCCATGTGGCTGATGTGTAGATCAATGTTTAAGTCCCATACCATACAAGGATAGCCAACTGAGCAACATGTTAAGAGGTTAAGTGATCACATAGACTTAATGGGCTTAAAGCCCTTTCGAACTAGCTTAATAAGATTAATTAAATAAGGGGCGTTCTAGTATTTGGATCAGCTAATAGGATAAGGGATTATCCCTATCCACTCAAAGAGTCTAGATCCAAATAAAGATTTGGATCAGGAAACTCCTAATTAGATTAGGAAGGCTGATCTTTATCTATAGATAAGATAATGGATTATCCTTATTTCTTAAAGAGAGTCTAGATCCAAATATAAGATTTGAGAGTAGGGCAAACCTCCATAGACATCTGATAGTTTGTTGAATTGAGAGAGAAGACAACATACAGTTTGACTGCACCTGTCTTTTGCTCTTATTCTTTCCTGCTCTTGCCACCCTACTCAGCTCGATCTCCACCAGTAGGAGTGATCAAGAATGGTTCTTGATATTGCCTTTTGCTAGAAGAGGCAATATGAAGTCATGCTCATCAGCCCTCCATCATATTTTTGTTGAAGAATTCAGTTCTTGTTGAAGAACCATCTTGCTGATTTTGCTTCACCTCACACCGTGTTATCTTCGGCGGAAGTAGTCTTTGGTTTTCTCCTTGGGCGTGAACACCTTCGTTGAAAGTTATTGTTACTTCGTATAGGTATATCCCTCTCCTACCCTTTTGGTTTCAGATCTGGTCTGGTTTGTTTCAAGATTGATCCTTAAAAATGCAGTTTTCTAAAATAGGGAATGTGATTCCCACATGGGAGAGAGAAAAATTTTTGAAATTTCGTCCAACCTTCCTACAGGGTTCGGCCATCCATATGATGGATCTCTCATCCCTTTATATTGTTCCAAGAACCGGTAGTAAGGCTTCTTTGTTTTCTAGATTATAAGAGAGGGAAAGTCGGTCATCGGGATTTTGATTCCTATTGATTGAGATACCTACATTCTTTTTTTAGATTTTATGTGGGGTCTATGGAAAACTCATTTTTCCAAGATATCACTTACCCGGGTAAGTGATATTGTCTCCTAGGTAGATAAGTAAATGTCTCGCTTAGGATCGGATGATCTGATCCATTTGCACCCCTAGTTCTCATTTGGGGGGAAATTGCCAACACTTGGATGGAACACAATTAAATCTTTTAATAATGGCTTTTTATGGTTAAAATGGTCATTGTCTTATTTACCTAGGAAATAAAAATCATATAAACATGTTCCCAAAAAACAAACAGAGCCTTAATATAAATCAAAAAACATAAAAATATCAATAAATAAATATTATGAATAAAATAAAGTGTTGTATGGAATTGTGATAGTTTGTAGTTCTAGCATTTTGAGTAGCATTGCTAGTTCAACTTAAAGCAAACACACAATGGTTCTAGTTAGGGATGCAAATGAATCGAATCGAATTTGAATCAGGGTATATCCGAATATGATCCGATAATAGAAATCAAGATCCGATCTGATCAGATCTCATAAATGGTGATTCAAATCCGAACATGATCCAATCCAATTTGAATTATGAAAATTGTAATAAATTATTAAAAGAAAAAACACAACAGTTTATATTAATATACATGAAATATAAAAGTGCAATATAAACATATTTATAAATGTAATAAAAGTGCAATATAAACACAATAATTTATATTAATAAATTATTAATATTGCACTTTTATAAAAATATAAAAGTACAATATAAACATATTTATAAATAAATATATTAATATACATGCATACATACATACATACATACATACATACATACATACATACATACATACATACATACATACATACATACATACATACATAAATAAATAAATATGGCTCTGATGGTAATGTTTGATTGGTTCAAAGAGGTCAAGATTATGGAAATTTGGGTCAACAAAAGGGTTTGAAATGAAATCTTAGTATGATGAATGGGTAAACAAGGGAGTTTTAAATTGAAAATTTATGGGTAGGTATTTAGGTATTTCTGGAGTTCAATGGTTGGTTTGATTAGTTCAGAGGTGTTAGGATCAAAGGGATCTGGGTTGTAGTTGTTTAGGCTAACAAGGGG